GGTTTTTTTTTTTTTTTTTTTTTTTTTTTTTTTTTTTTTTTTTGTGGTAACAAGTGTTCTATCACTGAGCTATGTCCCCAGTTTTTTGTTTTTCTTTCCCTTGAGACACAGTCTCACTAAGTGGCTAAATTCCCCAGATTGGGCTCAAACTTGCAATCTTCCTGCCTCAGCCCCACAGAGTACTGGGATCAAAGGTATGCATCACCACATCTGGTATATCTGTCCCTTTTTAAAAATTTTTTATTCTGAGGTAGTTTCACTAAATTGCCCTGGCTGGCCTCAAACTTGTGATTCTTCTGCTTTAGCCTCTTGAGTAGCTGGAATTATAGGAGTGTACCAGTATACCTGGCTCAAAAGATTATTTTTTTAAGAGAAAGCATTTTATTATAGCTCTTCACAAAGTTAAAAACAGGAGGATCCTTCTTAATAAAGGGTCAGGAAACTACAAAGAGCCACTTCATTAAAAATCAAATCATTTAAAACATTTTAAAATGTAAGATAAGCAGGATCCTTAGGCACATTCTAACTTCTAACACGACCAGTGGCTGTAGCCACAACTTCTGGGCATTAATTCTGCTTCTGAAAACTCAGGCAGAGAAAGAGAAGTGGAACAACTTTTAAAGCAGGGATTTTGCTCTCAAGTTTGCAGTTGACTGTCTTTGCAATGTGTAAATTTGCTCTTCTTGATCTTTCTGAGGAGACACTCTGTATCTGTGCATTATGTCCTTTGTTTTTTATAGCAACTGGATGGTGGGGCACAACACATACAACAGGTATTGTAGCATAAACGTCTGACAACATTGATATAAAGGTTTCAGATTCAAAAAGGAGCAGATCCTGTGGAAGAAACTCAGTCCTGATTTCACACTCATTGGTATGGTAGAGAAACTAACAGAATCCCGGATGTACTGAGGCTACAGCACAGCTATGTCCTAGATATACTTCTTCAAGGGTCATGAGGATGTTATTGTCAAATGCATTTCACTTGACTCTAGCGAGGAACCAAGTGGGGCTGCAACGTACATAGACTGGCTTCTCTCCAGAGCAAGTCCAAATCAGAGAAAAAAGGAGAAGAAAACCATCTGGTCAGAGTCCAGGGCAGCACCCAGCTAGGGAAGAGGAAGTCTTAAAATATATATATTTTTTGGTACCTGGGATTGAACTCAGGACCTGTACTTGCAAGGCAGGCAGGCGGTGGCACCACTGAGCTAAATCCCCAGCCTAAAAGATTTCTTAATAATTTATGTAGGTACTTTTCTCACAGGAAGGTACAGCATAACTCCATTCTTTAAGTAAGGGCTATGCATAGTTACTTTTTTCCCAAAGTAGTATGGGAAGGCGGGGGTGGGGTGGTTACATTACATGGTGGGGGTAATTTAATGATAGAGCAGTTATCTAGCATGTTTAAGGCCCTGAGTTTGATCCCTAGCACCACAAAACACACACACACACACACACACACACACACACACACACACAAAGGGAGGGAGGGAAGGAAGGAAGGAAGAAAAAAAGGAAAGAAAGAAAGAAGTTGTAACATTACAGTAGAGAAAGCACACAAACATCTCAGCCAGGTGATGGAAGTTAACATCAACAGTGAGAAGTCAAAATAGGTACAGGTACCCTTGGTATGCCATACTGAAGGTGAAACTTTACTGTTTTGTTCTTCTCTGAAATCTATAACTTCAGTACAGCTCAAATGCTACAGAGCTTGTCTAACAGCATGCATGAGGCCCTAGGTTCAATTCTCTGCACCATAAACAAACAAACAAACAACAATAAAAAACTATAACCCCAATGCCAGGCATGGTGGTGCATTCCTGTAAACCCAGCACTTGGGAGGCTGAGGCAAGAGGATTTCTGTGAGTTCAAGACCAGCCTGGGCTACATAGTGAGTTCCAGATCAGTCTCAACTACATAGTGAGACCCTGTCTCAAAAACAAAAGAACAACAACAACAAAAAAAACTTATAACCTGTCTAACAATCAGCCAACTCAAACTAAGTGATGCATATAAATTACTCATTTGCCCAGTACTCTTCAAAACTATTAAATCATAAAAAATATAGAAATTCTGATCATCACCACCCAGAGAAGCCTAAGAAGACCTGACTACTAAATGTTAACATAGCATCCTGGAAAGGATCCTGAAAAGCAAAAGGGATGCTGGGAAAAACTAACAAAATCTAAACAAGAATAGGGAAAATTGAGTAAAGAGGCAAAGAGCCAAAATACTGCAGGTGTTGACAGGGCCAACATTCAGAAAGACGAAAAACCCTCTCTGCTAATGTTCTCCACCCATTCCCACCACTGTGTTCTGGCCCATTTGCTTCAACACCCACAGATACGTTTCCTGCCATCCAGGAAGCCAGCTGTGGCAGCCTGGGCTCACAGTCTATGCACTCCACATTTTTGTTCCCTTCATTGGGAACTTGGTCCTCAGAACAAAAGAAGCATCTGGCTAACGAATGTTCATTAATCACCATTAACTGCAGTGGTTCCCATCCTCTGAGCTACTCCCCGAGGCCAAGCCCCTCCACGATGCATGATGTCCCCCCACCCCTGTCCCACATGCTTTTGGTTTGGTTTCTTTCAGTGCTAGGAGTCAAACCCAAGGCCTCAGACACACTAGGAAAGCATTCTACCACAATGCTACATCCCAGTGCTGAATCCACCATCCTTTACTATGCCATTTAACAGCCTCAGAGCCCTCAAGATCTAAACTTCCTTATCTCTATAGCCCTCTCTTTCTCTTCACTTCCTTGCTTACTCTGCTTTGGCCACTGTGATCATCTCAAATGTCCCAGGCACACTCCATACATTACGTACACTAGAATCCCCAGATCAGGCTCTGCTCTGCAGCAGCAGTTTCCATGGCCACATTCAGAGTTCAGAGACCAAAAAAACAGAGCCTGGCCCATGGCCCATCTTCTAGAACAAAGGTATTAGGGAGCTGCACAGGAGCAAGAGGTCAGAGGATGGGGTCAGGGTGAGCTTCACCTTCTGTTCCTCCTCCAGGCGGAGCCGCTCTTCCTCCTTCTTCCATTCTGCCTCCCTCTGGGACTCCAGGCGCTTCCGCTCCTCTCGTTCAGCCTCCTCTGCCTGGAGAGAGGGCTTCATAAGGCCACACGTGCTCTACCCACTACAGGGTGCCCATCCCTCAGATAGGCCAAGGAAGGAGATGGCTGGGCCAGGACACAGACCAAGGCTGCAGGAGACAGCCAGACAAGCAGCAAACAGAAGCCCAGTGAAAAAGAAGCCCAGAAGATAGAGTTCATCCTAGGGAAAAGAGAAGGCAGAAGACTTTCCTACATCCCAGAGCAACACCCCGTTCTTTCTGCTTGCCTCACGCTGGGCTTTTCGTGCTTGTTTCTCTTCTAGTTTCCGTAGTTTCTTGGTTCCAATTTTCCCTGTCGAGTGAGTTTCTGCTGGCTTCTCAATGCCTTTTTCCTCCTGAGCTGGGTAGGGTCAAAGAGAGACACTTGAGTTCCTAGCCAGAGAGGAACACATCACCCTGTTACTCTCCTCACAGGGTAAGTCTCTGTCACTCACCTCCAAATGTTACTAGCTCAGCCCTGCCCTCCAGGGGCACCTGCCACATTCACATGTGTATGTGCGTGGGATGGGGGAGGGGATTAGGGAAAGGGTACAGAGTTTAGACCAGGCTGGGCCCTTTCACCTGGGATGTCAGTTTCTTCCTCATCCTCGTCCACTTCTGCCCAAGCCACCCGCTGGGCTCGACGCTGAGCCTGCAGGCGGCTGCCCAGGTCCCTCCGGCGCCGGGGTCTGCCTCCAGCTCTGTGCTCCTCTGCCTCCAGGAGCCGTGACTGGCCCACCCGGGCTGCTACTCCTGACGCCTCTTCATTGCTCTGCAGCTCTTGACCAGCTTTGAGAAGAAAGGAATATAACAGTGCCAGACAACCCAGTGTGCCTGATGGCTAGGGCAGCAGTATGCCAGAAGCCTCTCCCTCCTCTGTTCAAACTTCTTCCAGACCTGTGCTGCTCACAGCACAAAGCCCTTATTTCACAGTCTTAATGTCAAGACTTTTACAACCCAGGTCCACACCTTGGTCCAAAGCAGCAAGCTCACCCCATCCCTCCTGCATGTCCAACTGTTCTCTCTCTTAAGGTCCACATTTCTAGCTGGCCTGTTGGGAGACAGACTTCCACCCTTATGTCTCCAGAGCCTACTCAATGGCCCACATTTCTTGCTTAACACCATTTGTCATGGTTTTACATAGCACTCCAGACAGACAGCACACTTCTCTCAAGCGCTGGGCCTCCTCCCACCCCTCACCTTATCCAAGCATCTCTCTCCCTCACCCTTCGAACATGCAGGTACTGGTAAGTAGCTTGTGGGCCCAGGGAGGGGAAAATCCCCATGTTGACAAGAAATGAAGAGTGGGGAGTGGCATGGCCTTCTGGTGCAGAACGGGATAAAGGGGAGGCCAAAGCAGCATGGGTGCTTTCCCTGAAGGGGAGGCAGGCTTCAGAAAGTTTCGCCTCACACTCCCTCCAGTTCAAAATGGGCAGAAAATACTCAGATGCCTGGGCCCAGGCACACGGTCTGTAGCCAGCCTGGGAGGGAAACCAAGCCGCCTCCCTCATGAACGCAGAGGGGGACCGCCCAGATAGTGACCGACGGGAGTGTCTGCCAGGGCCTGGCCCCTCTGGGTCGGGAATGCCAAGGGGTGAAAAGGCGTAGAGACGCCGCCACTGGGTTCGCAGGTTGTGTTCTAGCCCGTAGTTCGGAACCAGAATATCCACGGCGCAGGCGCATAGCTGCCTGACTCACTCGTCAGCCGGAACTGGAGTGCAGGCGCATGCGCACAAGCCGCGACGTGCCGGCCCATTGAGGTTCAGAAGGCCTGAGAGGCCTGGCGGCACCTCCTACCTTGTGCCGCCCGGAGCCGGCTGCGGGTCAGGAAGAGAATAAGGCCAACGAGCAGAGCCGCCACTGCCAGGTACACCACGGGTGCCAACATGCCGAAAACTTCGCGATTGAACCACAGCGCCTGCCTCGGGTTGGGTGTTTGGGGTAGCGCCCAGACCCCGCCCACTACCCATAGATCTCCTCCCGCTCGTTCCCAACTCTAGGCTCCACCCACCACCTGCGGGCCCACGATTCAAAAGGGCCATGATTTTTATTATGTCGTGTTTTATTTTCTTAAAAGCCACTAAACCCGGGCATAGTAGTGCATGCCTATAATCCCAGAATTTGGGAGACTGACAGGATTGAGTTCGAGGCCAGCCAGGGCTACACAGTGAGTTCAAGACCAACCTGAACTGCAAAGGGAGAGCTTGTCTCAGTCAATCAGTCAAGCTCATAGCTCAGCACACACCTGCGCTCCTTCAGGAGCGTGTTGGAGGAGGATCACTGGGAGATGGAGGCCAGCCTGGGCTACACAATGACTTTAAGACAAACCTAAACTACATGGGGAGTTGCTGTTTTTTTTGGTGTTTTTTTTTTTTTTTTTTTGGTACCAGGTATCGAACTTGGGCCCTTGCGCTAGTGAGGCAGGCGGCCGAACTGCTGAGCCAAATCTCCTGCAAGGGTGATGCTGTTTTAAAACAACAAATCCCTTATGATGTTTTTGTTTGTTTGTTTGTTTTTGTTTTTTTGAGACAGGGTCTCACTATGTAGTTAAGACTGACCTGGAACTCACTATGTAGTCTAGGCTGGTCTCGAACTCATAGCGATCCTCCTGCCTCAGCCTCCCTAGTGCTGGGATTACAGGCGTGAGCCACCATGCCCGGCCCCTCATGATGTTAAGTGGACATTATCACAGGAGATTATGTGCAGTGGACATTATTTATGGATATTTTATAATCAATAGGGCTAGGATGTACCTTAGTGGTAGAGCACTGAATAGCATACATGATTTCCTTGGTTGGATTTTGCAAAAATATAAATAACCACTAAAAAATACCATATAATCTTTATAGGGAAAAAATGTGGAAAAAGCACAGAAAGGTGCTTGGAAATGACACATTTTCAAAGTGGAGATTACCAATAGGAAGAGAGCAGGTTGGGATAAAGCTTTATGTGTGATATTTGATTTTTCCCAATTTTGGAAACTGAACCAAGGGCCTTCACACTGAGCTGTGTCCCTAACCCTGTTTTCATTTATTGAGACAGTGTCTCTTCAAGTTGCTATGTTGCCCAGGATGGGCTTGAACTAAGATCCCCCTGTCTCAGCCTCCTAGAGTGCTGGGATTATCGAGGTGCTCTACAATGCCCCATCCTCTCCCCTTTTAAAGAAGTCACAGACCGGGCATGGTGGCGCAGGCCTGTAATCCTAGCATTTGGGAGGCTGAGGCAGGAGGATCACTGTGAGTTCGAGACCAGCCTGGGATATATAGTGAGTTCCAGATCAGTCTGAACTACATAATGAGACCCTATCTCAAAAAAAAAAAAAAAAAAAGTCACATATCAGAAGGGAGTGGTGACATAAACCAATAATTCCAGCAATCTGACAGGCTTAGGCAGCAGGATTATCCCCAAGTTGAACCCCAGCCTGATCAATTTAGCAATTTAAAACCTACCTCAAAATAAAAATAAAAAGGGTTGGGAATGTAGCTCAATGCAAAGGCCCTGGGTTCAATCTCCAGTATAGGGGGAAAAAAAAAGAGGGGAAGCAGGAAGGGAAATTCAGAGTTGTAGCACATTCCTGTAATCTCAACTACTCTGGAGACTGAGGTAGAAGTATCTCAAATTTGAGGCCAGAGTGGGCAACTGCGGGAGACCTTGACTCAAACACCAAAAAGGTCCAGAGCTGCAGCGCTCCTTAGGTTTGATTCCGGGTACTGGAGAGAAAAATATCAAACAAAAACAATAGAATAGATGAAATCAAAATAGTGAATGTTGATAATTATTGGAAGTTGAGTGATGGGTATGGAGGGGCTTATTATAGTGTCTTTTTTTTTTTTTTTTTTTGGTACGGGGGATCAAACTTGGGGCCTTGTGCTTGCAAGGCAGGCAGCAGAACCACTGAGCTAAATCCCTGGCCCTATAGTGTCTTTTTGTTTGTTTGTTTTTGAGACAGTGTCTCACTGTGTAGTTCAGGCTGGCCTCAAACTCTCAGCAATCCTCCTGCCTCAGTGCACCTGCCCCGCCCCCCAATTTACCACAACTTTATTCAGCACATTGGAAAAAACATGTATCCTTTGACTCAGCAGCAGCAACAAAAATCTTAGAACTATGAGGAACTATGCAGATGAAGATTTTGTTCCTCGCAGGATGACTTCAGATTTAACTTGGCCCTGGAGCATCACCGCATCACCGGACCATTGGAGTTATGCCACAGTTGGCCTTCAGGCAGGAAAACTAGGCCTAATCATAATTTTAATTATGAAATGATTTTTCCCCATAATTACACAGAATTGCTCCCGACACGATTGGGGTTTTGTTCAAAGTTTTTGCGTACATTAATATCTTCAGAGTTTTACCTATTCTCTCTTCCAGTAGATTTAGTGATTCTGTTTTAATATTTAGGTCTTTGATCCATTTTAATTTTAGGTTAGTGCATGGTGAAAGATATGGGTCTAGTTTTAATCTTCAGATATGGAAAGCCAGTTTTTCCAGCACCATTTATTAAAGAGGTTATCTTTCTTCCTCCTCCGTCAAACATAAGGCAACTGAGTATATTTGGAGTTGTCTCTGAATCTCCTAATCTGTTCCATTATCCTCAGGTCTGTTTTTTTGTTTTGTTGCCAGAACCATGCTGTTTTTATCACAGTAGCTTTGTAGTATAATTTCTTTTTTCTTTCTTTTTTTTTTGGTACCGAGGATTGAACTCGGGTCCTTGCACTTGCAAGGCAGGTCACCGAACCGCTGAGCCCTGTAGTATAATTTCAAGTCAGAGATTATAATGCCCCTGCCTTGCCTTTATTCTCCAGAATTGCTTTTGTTATTCTAGTTTCTTCTGGTTCCAAATGAATTTTAAGACTGTTTTCTCTAATTCTGTGAGATGTGCTATAGGTATTTTGATCAGGATTGCATTAAACCTGTATAACAATTTTGGAAGTATGGCCATTTTCACTCTATTGGTCCGTCCTACCCAGGAACAAGGGATATCTTTCCATTTCCTTTTCTTTTTCTCTTTTTTTTTTGGTGGAACTAGGAATTGAACTCAGGACCTTGTGCTTGTGAAGCAGGCAGTGGAACCACTGAGCTAAATCCCTGGCTCTTTCCATTTCCTGGTATGCTCTTTGATCTCCTTTCTCAGAGTACTGAAGTTTCCCATGTAAAGGTCTTTTACTTTCTTCATTGAATCAATTCCTAGGTATTTCCCTTGTTTGGATACTATTGTGAAAGGTGTTGTTTCCCTATGTACTCTCTCAGTAAGTTTGTTTGTGTACCAGAATGCTATTGACTTTTGGGTGTTGACTTTGTATTGAGCTACACTGCTGAATTTTGTTATGAAGTCTAGAAGTCTTCTGGTGTTTTTGTTTTTGTTTTTTGGTACTGGGGATTGAACTCAGGACCTTACGCTTGCGAGGCAGGCGGTAGCAACACTGAGCTAAACCCCCAGCCCATCTTTAGATGTCTTTGTTTTTGGATCCTCTATGTAGGATATCATGTCATCTGCAAATATAATTTAACTTCTTCCTACCCTTATTCCTTTTATTATTTTCTCTTGTCTAATTGCTGTGGCTAATGTTTCCATAAGTATATTGAATAAAAAGTGGTGATAGTGGATATCCTTGTCTTGTCCTGATTTTTATTTTATTTTTGGGGTTTTTTGTTTGTTTGTTTTTTGAGACAGGGTCTCACTATGTAGTTGAGACTGACGTGGAACTGACTATGTAGCTCAGGCTGGTCTCCAACTCACAGTGATCCTCCTGCCTCAGCCTCCCAAGTGCTGGGATTACAGGCGTGCACCACCATGCCTGGCTCTTGTTCGTGATTTTAGAGTGAAAGCTCTTGGGTTTTATCCTTTTAGTATGATGTTGGCTGTTGGTTTGTCATAGATGGTTTTTATTAGATTGAGATAAAGACCATCTATTACAATTTTCTGTAGTTTTTTTTAATCACGATTGAGTGTTGGACTTTTATCAAATGCTTTTTTTGCATCTGTTGAGATGATCATATGGTTTTTGTCTTTGGCTTTGTTAATATGGTGTACTACGTTTATTGATTTGAATAGGTTGAACTATCCCTGAATCCCTGGGATGAACCCTATGTGGTCATAGTGTACAATCTTGATGAGGGGCAGGGATTTAGTTCAGTGGTGCTGCCATCTGCCTTGCAAGCACAAGGTCCAGAGTTCGATCCCTGATACCAAACAAACAAAAGCTTCTTTTTTTTGTACTGGGGATCAAACTCAGGATCTTGTGCTTGCAAGGCAAGCGGCGGAACCACTGAGCTAAATCCCCGGCCCCAAACAAACACTTCTTGATGATTTGCTGCATTATATTTGCCTCACTGAGGATTTTTGCATCTATTTTCATTAGGAAGATTGGCCTGTAGTTTGGTTTTGTTTTTTTTGTTTTTTTTTTTTTTTTTTTTTTTTTTTTTTTTTTTTGGTTGGATCCTTTTCTGGTTTTGTTATGAGGATAATGCTTGCTTTCAGGAATGGATTTGGGAGTATTTCTTCACTTTCAATTTCATTAAAGAGTTTGAGACAAAGTAGCATGAACTCTTTTCTAAATTTCTTGTAGAATTCAACAATGAATCTGTCAGGGCCTGCGCTTTTCTTTGTTGGTAGGTTTTAAGTTACATCTTCAATTTAATTGGCCGATATTGGTTTATTTTGAATTTTTATGTCTTTTTGATTCAGCTTGATAATTCATACATATTGTTATGGCTTGGGTCTAGATGTCCCGTCAAACCTTGTTCAGTCCATAGGTGGGACCGTTTCAGAGGTGGCTAGATGTAGAGAGTATGATGCTGGGATTAAGGATGTGTGATCACTAAATCAGTTCACTGATTGGCTTGATACCACCCTAATCCAGGTAGTTTAGGTACAATATAAAGGGGACAGGAAGGCACTGTTAAGGTCCCTTACTTATTGCTTTGCTACCTTCTGCCCACTATGAACTATTTCTCCTTTTTGATTCCTGTTTGCCATGCCATCCTCCCTTGGAGTTCTGCCAAGTATAAACTGAAACCTTTATGAACCGTGAGCTAAATAAACCTTTCCTCCTTTAACTTTGGATGATGGGTATTTTGTCTTAGCAATGAGAAAAAAGTAACTAAATGTATCTAGGAATCTGTCCTTTTCTTTTATATTTTCCATCTTCTTAGCATACACGTTCTCAAAGTAGGTATTGATGATTTGGATTTTTGCAGAATTTATTCCTGATTGCATGGGTTTGAGTCTTTTTTTCACAAAGTCTATTTTCAAGTTTACGTAACACATACACTAAAAAAGAAGCCCAGAGTCCATGTTTTGTTAGTGAAATGGAACAACAAAAACCCTTCTAAATGAAATAAGTTTAAGTTGAGATATTGACTCCTGTAACATTCACTATTGTTTTTATATGGCTTGAGACAGTTAAAATTTTCAAAATTCAAGCATAAAGTTAATATTTTATTTTTATTTTGGTATCAGGGATAGAACTTGGGTCCTTGTGCTTGCAAGGCAGGAGGCGGAACCACAGAGCTAAATCCCTGGCCCTAAAATTAATATTTCAAAGAGAAAAATATTAGTAACTGTCAGGTACCAATTTTTTTCAACTTATGATAATTAAATCATATGGATTCCCTTTGAGCCAACCTAAAAGCCAAAAACAATAAAAATATAAAATTATAGGGCTGGGGATTTAGCTCAGTGGTGCCGTGCCTGCCTTGTAAGTGTAAGGTCCTGAGTTCGATCCCTGGTACCAAAAAAAATAAAGTAAAATTATAGATTCTTCCTGATACTAAGCCCAACATTTTCCCCCCTTCTTAGAGGCCTGTAAACCGAAATTATGAGATATAATTTACTTTGGCCACTGGAAACATTTCTGCACTGTGACATATTCAGAAAATCTACTTATTCTCTTATTAATGTATTAATTCCCATCTTAATCCATATACCAAGAATGTAGTAAAGAAGAGGATATAATTTTCCTGAAGCCTGTAACAGGCATAACTAAACCCACAACATGAGAAATTCAAGCACTTATTAAGCCCTGGATGACAGAATGAGCCCCCCAAATGGCCTCAAGCAAATTGCAAATCCTAAGGCAGATTTAGAGATGGATTTATCCATGAGTCAATCTTCTCCAAGTCTGGACAGGGAGGGAGTGTGGAAATACCAGCTTCTTTGAATCTGTCTCAAAAAATAAAGAAATTTATCTATAACATTATATGCATTAGTTATATTCTTTCATTATAAAGCACCTACAAATGAGCCAGGCCCTGGGATTTAAGGGTGAGATAGTGAACAAAAACAGATGTGACTTTACTATCATGATTTCTAGTGGAGGAACTAAAACAATCATGTATATAAATATACATCTGTATCGAGGTTATTGATATTATTAGAGGAGGCCAGTATCATAAAGCAGGTAAAGGTGAGGCAGTTTCCTTGGAAAGTTGGTGCTTGAGCTGGCTCAGGGCCAAGAAAGGTATCCAGGTGATGTGAATCTTGTCTTCTGAGTCCTCTTGGTAACTGATGTCCTCCAGGTCCTCTTTGCTCCTAAATTCCCATGGGCCACTTCTCTAAGGACTATATAGGGAATGTATGGTTATTGTTTCTGTGTCAATAACAGAAAAAAAAAAAGCAAAGTCAAAGTACAGTAGTGGAACATCAAAATGACCTGAAGAGGTTTTGAAGATTACAGATTCCTCCTCCCTTTCTTGTCTCTGGGTGGAAGTGGTCATTTAAGAGCTACTTTTCCCAGGTTCTTGGAGTCAGAATGCTGTGTGTAGAGGGAGAAAGATGAGTGGTCAATGAGGGTTCCAACAAAAGGTCCAAACCTGTCTTACAGGTGGACTCTAATGGGGCACTTTAGTATGCTTTGCTGTGTGCAGGATGCAAAGATCTGGCTGCAGCAGTGGCCATAGAAGAGAGATGATGGATTGAGAGGCTGGAGAGATGCCAAAAGAACCTAAGAGATGGGCAAACGACTAGGCTTATTTTAGACTACGTCCAAGTTTAAATTCATGGTGAAGTACAAGGTGGCTGGCAAGAAGCAGCTCAAGTAGTGAGGCTGAAGGTGAGGTCAGGATAAAGATCCGGGCTAGACCGACCCTGCCCAGGAGACAGCCCCGGGAGACAGACTCCAAGGAGCCCGCAAAGAGCGCCAACTGCCTGGGGCACAGGGCTGCAGCTCATCACCAGCCTCGCGGGTTCTTCTTCTCCCTCGGAACCCGGGTCCCGGCGATGGACGTAGGCAGGGTGAGGCGCGTGGTTTCTTCTTGTCTGTGACCAGATCGTCCCTTGGCGCCTCCAACTTCACTCTTGGGAAGCCTCCCAGCGATTCAGGAACAAAGAGCGCTACACGCTGCTCATCTGCTCTCCTCGGGGGTCTGAACAAGGATTCTTGGCACACAGCGGCGAACAAGAGGCTCTTTACCCGTTTGACAGCCCACAGTAACCACCAGAAGAGCTCCTCCGGACCCCAGGTGAGGCCGGAAACCAAGACGCCCACTTCCGCCCCAGCCGGAAGTGTTACGCGATTTGCGATAAATGGGCTTCCGGAGCTCTGAGGGAAGCTCTTTTTCACCATGGCGGCGTCCGTTGCTGGGAAGAAAATCGTGTTTGTAACAGGGAACGCCAAGAAGCTGGAGGAGGTACCTACAGAGCGTGTGGGGCCGAGTGGAAGGCGCCTGGGAATAGGGCTGAGCGGTCTTCCAGACGCCGGAAGACCCAAGAACCTGGAGTTCGGCCCGCCAGCTGTGGGGAAGGGATAACGTTGCGGGGAGGGGACGGTCGCTTAGTGGGGACTCCCTGAGAGTAGATGGGGTGAGCTTCCGGCACAAACCTCCCGAGATCAGCGGCTGTGGGAGTCAGAGGCGTGGTTCTTAGCATTAGTCCCAATGATAGCCTACTGACCTGAACACGGAACCTCGAGCCTGGACACCGCTCTGAGAGGGATCCACATTCCCGAGGTGGTGACCAGAGAGGGCGTGTGTTGGACAGCCAGACTGCGTCGTCCACGCCTTACCAGGGTCGAGAAATGCTCCTGGCCATTTTGCACATCTGTGAAATGAGGTGAAACTTTTTCTTTTTTTTTGTTTTGTTTTTTGAGACAGGGTCTCACTCTAGTTGAGACTGACCTGGAACTCACAATGTAGCCCAGGCTGGTCTGCAACTCACAGCAATCCTCCTACCTCAGCCTCCCGAGTGCTGGGATTACAGCCATGCGCTACCATGACCGACTTGGGGTGATACTTTTGACAACTCTGAAATCCAGACTGGGCAAGATGGGGCATACCTGTAATTCCAGCACATAGAAGGTTGAGGCTGGAGGATCGCAGTGATTTCGAGGCTAGACTTGGCTACATAGTGAGTACAAGACCTTGTTTAAAAAAAAAAAAAAAAAAGTGAGCAAGCTTACTTAACCAGTTTTACATGCACCAGAGCCTTCAGATTGAAAACCAACGACAGAATTTTTCCCCCCAGTGCTGGATTGAACCTAGGGTCTTCTGGATGCTAGGCAAGCACAATACCATGAGCTACAGCCCAAGTAGTCTTTTTATATTTAGATTAAGTAGAGCATAGACAACTGTGTGCTATGTGATTAGACAAAAAAGAATCTTGGGCTGGAGATTTAGTTTGGTGGTGCTGCCACCTGCCTCAAGCACAAAGTCCTGAATTTAGTCCAAGGTACCAAAAAAGGGGGCGGGGGTAGAATCTAGGGTTTACAAATTGAGCCAGGCTTGTTCTGATTTTGGTCTCTGCAGCATTTCTTCCTCCCTTAAAGTGATACCTTCTTAAGGTATCCTATGATACAATGTTAAAGTACCCTTTTATGAAATGGGGTTTATAAACTACTGCCACACAACAGATTAGAGAATATCTTTACACCAGCTCCAGGAGAAGGGTAGAGAAATATTGAGAGTAATATTTTGGGTCTTTACAGCTTGCTTTGGGGAAAAAGAGTTTTAGTTTCTGTGACCTACCTTAAGAGAAATTTGTGTTTCTTTTTTTTTCTAATTTCTGTTTTTTTCTAATTTCTGTTTTTTTTTGTTTGTTTTTTTGAGACAGTTTTGCTATGTAGTCCAGGCTGGCCTTGAAATTTGTGTTTCTATGTCTTGCCTTTAGGAGGAGAAAGGAGGGGCTGGGGATGTAGTTCAGTTGTGCCATGCCTGCCTCGAATGTGCAGGGTCCTGATTTCAATCCCTGGTACTGGAAAGAAAAAAAAAAAGGAGAAGTAGAGAACAAAAGGTCAGAGGAACACTTTTCCTTTTTTTTTTTTTTTTTTTTTGATGCAGGTTTGCTATGTAGATTGGCCTTGAGCTCATGTCAGTCATCTGCCTCAGCCTCCCTAATGCTGAGATTACAGATGTTCTCTGCCATGCCCAGCTAAGACTTTGCTTTTTAAAGCTTCTTCTGAGGGCCCAAAGCCCTGCACTTTGGGAGATGGTTTTTCTGGGTGCCAAAATAATATGGGCTGTCTGTTTCACAGCACTATAGAAAAGAGTAAAATGCAAGGGATCTTAAGAGTCTATCTGGTAGTAAGGCACCAGGTGACTCTTACAGGAATTCAATGCTGAAGTCCCCAGCAGGACCCAAGGATTCACTCCAGGGATTGGCCTCTGTCTTTGTTCTTCTCTAGTCCCTTTGAAATCTTTCTGCTTTCTTCCCTGTTGATAGAGGCACAGTAGGGTCTTTTGCCATCCAACTGCTTGGCCTTGCTTGGATCAAGGGTTTACCTCTGCTTAGTCAGCCTGGCCAAGGAGGTGGGGTTATGTGTGAGGAGTTAGGAGTTGACATCCACTGCATATGTCTTTGGCCGCTCAGTGAGGTACAGTAGGGCAAGCTTCACTTGTCTGTAGTGATGCACTTTTTTCCCCCCTACCCCCAGTACCAGGCATTGAACTCAGGACCTTGCACTTGAGAGGCAGGCGAGGTGCCACAGAGCTAAATCCCTGGCCCTGGGACTGATGCACTTCTGTGCCAGGACAAAGGTGGTCCTCTCAGGAACCAGAGCTGTTCATAAAAGATTTGGATCCTGAAACCAAACCAGTTAAGCAGTCGAGCTGTGCCCTTCTGAATGGATTCCTTGCCTCCACCTGATGTGGCCTTCCCATATTTAAAGAGCAGCCTGGGACTGAGGAGAGCTCAGTGGAACAGCACTTGTCTGGGCTGTGCTAGGGCCCAGGTTCAACTTCTGGCACCATCACAGGAAAAATAAGAGGTTGAATGACCAAGAGCGGATCCTTAGAGAAGATGACTTGAACATGGTCTAGAACAAGGGAGTCTTTCTGTTTGTCTCTTAGTTGTCCATTATAAACTGATAAAGCCTATGGACTCTTTCTTAAGGAAATAGTTTTAAATGTACAAAATATGTACATGTATAGGGACAGTGGAACACACCTGTAATCCCAGCACTTAGAGAGACTAAGGCTGGAGAATTGAAAATTCAAGTCTCCTGAGCAACTTAGCAAGACTTTGTCTGAAAACAAATTTTTTTCTGTCTCAAACTTTAAAAAAAAATTTTTTTTTTAAGATTTGGGGAGGTAGCTCAGTGGTAAAGCGCCCATGGGTTCAACCCCCCAGAACTGCAAACAAACAAAATAGATATATAGGGTTACAATGGAAATCAACTATATTGAAAGACAATTCTGAAAATATTAGAAGTATTTGTGATTAGTTTTTTTTGTGTGTGATATAGTTATGTATACTTTAGGAGTCAATCTAGCAGTGTGTGCAATTTCCTTAATTTTAAATTAGTAAGAACTGAGTGTGGTGTTCCATATCTGTAATCCCAAGCACTCTGGGAGGCTGAGGCAGGATGATTGTTCAAGCCCAGTTTGGACAACTTAACAACTTAGCTATACCTCGTTTCAGAATTTTAAAATATTCTGGATGTGTTGGTGCACACTTATAATCTCAGAACTTGGGAGGCTGAGGCAGGAGGTGGATTGCTGGAAGTTTAAGGCCAGGCTGAGGTATTAGTTCAAGGCCAGCCTGAAATGCATAGTGGGACCCTGTCTTAAAAAATTAAAATATAGCCAGATGTGTTGGTGCATGCCTATAATCCCAGCACTCAGGAGGCTGAGGCAGGAGGATCACTGTGAGTTTGAGACCAGCCTGGGCTACACAGTGAGTTCCAGGTCAGTCTCAACTGTATAGTGAGACCCTGTCTCAAAAAACAAAAAAATTAAAATATAAAAAAAATAAACAGAGCTCAATATGAAGGTACTGGTTCAATCTCCAGTACTGGAGGAAAAAATACTGAGAGGGCTGGGATGTAATTTAGTGGTAAAGCATTTGCTTAGCATGCATAAGGCCTTGGGTTTGATCCCCAGCACTGTAAAAAAAAATTATGCATATATTTTAGAATTATAAATTTTTTTCTTCCTCCCTCCTTTGTAAATATTTTGAGATATAAGAAATAATTATAATGGAGTGTGATAGCATCTGTGATTTTGATGGTTTAAAAGTCATAGGAACCAACCAAGATAGGTTTTGTAAAGGTGTAAATTTCCAATGATAAATGTCATTACATTGTATACCTTAAATGTACCAATAAAATTAATTAATTTTAAAAAAGTCATACTAACCAAGTGTGGTGGCACATGTGTGTAATCTCAGCATTTGAGAGGAAGAGTCAGGAGTATCATCAAGGGTGACAGCCAGCCTTAACTAATATATATTTAAAGCCAACCTGGACTACACCTGTAATTCTAGCATTCTGAATTATCTCCTGGAGTTCAAGGCCAGCCTGCAATGCATAGTGAGACCTTGTCTCAAAAAACAAAAGGAGCACGCCTGTAATCCCAGCACTTGGGAGGCTGAAGCACGGGGATTGCTGTGAGACCAGCCTGGGCTACATAGTGAGTTCCAGGTCAGTCTCAACTACATAGTGAGACCCTGTCTCAAAAAACCAAAAAAAAAAAAAAAAAAAAATGGAAAGGGAGGGTTTTAGCTCAGTGGTTCTGCTGCCTGCCTCACAGGCACAAGGACCCGAGTTCAATCCCTGATACCAAAAAGAAAAAAGTCACAGGAATTATCAATACTATTTATTTTGTTGCCTGTATTCATATCTTAAAAGGGGATAAATTTCAATTAGAGGTCATAAAATGAAGAATTTTTTTCCTGTCTGGGTTCACAGGCCTTCTGAATTCTGGGTAGCTCCTGATGGGGTATTCCTGGCCTAGGAGATGGTAGAGCACTGAGATGGGTAAAGGGTATACTATATGGATGAGAGAGGGAGTAGTACAAGCAGAGACTTAAGTAGGAGGGGACAGAAGGATAAGAGACAGGGTGCTGACTAGCTGGAGTAGACCCTGAAGGCTGTTATGAAGCTCATGGACTCGAGTTGGTATTTATTTAATTTATTTTTTGGTACTAGGGATCAAACTCAGGACCTTGCGCTTGAGAAGCAGGTACAACACAACTGAGCTACATCCCCAGCCCTCCTATTTATTTATTTATTTATTTAATTATACATATTTTTTTGGTACCAGGGATTGAACTCGGGTCCTTGCACTTGCAAGGCAGGCCACCGAACCGCTGAGCTAAATCCCTGGCCCCTATATATTTTTGAGACAGAGTCTTGCTATGTAGTTCAGGCTGGCCTTGAATTTGCGGTAATCCTGCTTCAGCCTCCCAAGAGCTGGAGATTATAGGTGTGCATTACCATGCCCAGCTTGATTTAGTTTGCTTTAGGGGACTGACCAGAGGGTTAGCTCATGAGAAAGGTGCGTGACAGTTTACATAGTAATGGAAAATTACTAATATCTGGTAATAAATGTTGTTTATTTTGGAACAGGTCATTCAGATTCTAGGAGATAAATTTCCATGCACTTTGGTGGCACAGAAGATTGACCGTATGTCTGTTTTGTTTTATTTTTAAAAGATAGTTCCATTTTTCTTTCCTGCTGTGACTGACTATGTGTCTGTTTTCCTGATAAGTACCAGAGTACCAGGGTGAGCCAGATGAAATTTCCATTCAGAAGTGTCGGGAGGCTGCGCGCCAGGTGCTTATCCCCAACTGGTCCCATACTCACCTTTGTTTCCCACGCCCCCACTAAATTTATTAGTACATTTGAAGCAAAGAATACAGTTACATTTATCATTGGGATCTTGTACCTTTACATGATATGTCTTGGTTCTTATTTTTTCCTCATACTCCAACCCTCCCTTTACCCCCTTCACCCTTCCCTATTTATAGCATACTCACCTTTGTTGTCATGGTGCCTCCTGGGAGTAGGAGAGAACACCAGAAGGGGCAGTTTGTTATGATTTCAAGGACCTGTCCAGGCCTAGCTAGGCTAGGTTCAGTTAATGTTGGCCTTGGGACATTGCCTTCCTGTCCCCACCTTGACTATATGGTGTCTCCCCCAGGCCACCCCCCCCATGCATATGTGCACGCATTCCCTCTGTCCAGCCACAGCCTCCCTAGCTTAGTACAGAAACCTAGCCGTAGATTCACCCCACCCTCACACTCACACATCTTTGTAAACTGAGAAGGAGCACAGAGTGAAGGTCAAGCTGCCTGGGTGTGGGTCCCAACACTTCCATTGATGCGTCTTGAACAAGCTACATACCTGCCAATGCTGTGGTGTCCCTGTCTCCAAATTGAAGATAAAGAGGGCTGGGCCTGTGGCCATGATGATCCTCTGCTACGAATCTCAGCTTGCTATGGGTTTGGCCCCAGCCTAGGTGGCCTAGGGATTCTGGACAGGGATGGAGCCTACTTCTGGGTGCAGGTCTCAGGGATGCATGTCCTTGTGCTGCAGGTGCAGGGACCTGTCCTGGTAGAGGATACCTGTTTGTGCTTCAATGCCCTGGGTGGGCTTCCTGGCCCCTACATGTAAGTGTCCCCATGAACTCCTCTGCAAGGCCTCAGCCACAAACCACTGGAATGCAAAATGATTGGTTACCTGATACTATGGATCATTCATTATCTTGGCATCAACACCAGTATCTCAGTTGTCCCAGAAAAGGATTAGGAATATAGGAGAGGTGTGCCTTTCTTTTGTAAAGTGTGAGAATGTAATTGTGTAAGTGGAGATGGGAGAGGGATACCCACTCAGTTCCAGAGGTATATTCGTGGCAGATCAGTTTCAGGAAAGAGGAAATAAGGAAGTTAAAATTTGAAAACTGATTTACATTATCCAGTACCCTGGACCTCCTTAAAAGATCGTTTGTGTATTTCTAGGACACAAATAACCCAATTTGAAGTCTCCTGGAGTTGGGGATATATGTACGGAGAAGTATACCATGCCTGGTTTTGAGTATATATCTCTTAACTTGGATTACCAGTATGTTTAACCAAAGCAATAACACCTGTTATATACCTATATCTACAGTGTATATTGTTCCACATCCTTTCTAGCACTGAGTATATTACAAGTTTTTTAAATTTGCAATTTGAGCCAGTTATGGTGGTGCACACCTGTAATCCCAGCACTTGGGAGTCAGAGGCAGGAGGATCACTGCAAGTTCAAGGTCAGCCTGAACTACATAGCAAGACCTTGTCTCAAAAAAACAAAAAAATTGCAATTTGGAGGATGTGAATGTTATCACATATAGGTTGTTTTTTTTTTTTTTGTACCAGGGATTGAACTCGGGTCCTTGTGCTTGTGAGGCAGGTGGCAGAACCACTGAGCTAAATCCTTGGCCCACATATAGGTTTTTTTAAAATCACATACAGTTTTATTTTGCATTTCCCTAGTTATCAAATGAGGTTGAAGCCTGTATTTGTTATTTTTTTTTCTGTGCATTGCATGTTTTCCTCCATTTCCTTTTTCCTATTAGATGATTTCTCTCTCTCTTTGATGTTGGACATTGAACCCAGGCCCTTGCACATGATGCTAAGCACATGCTCTACCCCCACACCCCCCATTCTCTAGATTATTTCTCTAGGTTTTTATTTGAGACATTCCTTCTCATTTCCCCCTTGCTGTCCTGGAGCCCAGATCCTATAGGAATATTATTCTGCTCGAGATATCTGACTCTCTGTTCTTTTGCAGAAAATGGTTTCTGGAGAAGTTAAAGCCTGAAGGTATTATCCCATTTTTTCTTCCTTTGGATCTGTTGGGAACTGAGAGTCCCCTGGTAGTTTTCTGCTAATGACCAGGAAGTCCCAGGTTCTGGCTGCCACCATTGAGCCTCCCTTCTGTAATCTGAGCTCATACCTTGCCTGTGCACCAGAGCATTGAGATGAGGTGACAGGTGTGAGTTTGAGGGATCGGGCAGCTGTACTTGATTCTGAGTCTCAAGGAGGACTTGCCCTTAGCGACTGCCTGTAGTTGCTTCAGCCAGGACCTGGGCTGTGGGTTGCGGGAAGGGACTCCTCCTCCTAGGCCCCAACAGTCTGTTCCCAGCCACCCACAGGTGCAGGCCACAGTGTTTCCTCTTAAGAGCTATTTGGAGGTTCTAGCAGGGGAACACAGCTGCTCCTTCCTATATGCCAGACCAGAGAATGGCCCTCCTCTACTGGGGAAAGATGCCCTCTTCTTAACCAAGGGCAAAGCTTCAAGAGGGACATACACATTGGTGAGGGAGGAGGGGGACACCCACTAAAACCAATTTGGCTGAACCAACCCTAGCAACCATTGGAATAACAAATGTTGCAACCAGATTGCCCTCACATCTAGAATGTGCTTTCAGAAATATAGAGCGTTTCAAATATGTAAGATAGTAGAACAGAATATAATAGTGATGTCAAGTATAGTGTTGCACACCTGTAATCTCAGCACTCTGGGAGGCTGTCAGGAGGATTGCAAGTTCAAACCCATCCTGGACAACTTAGCAATTTAGTGTGACCCTGTCTCAAAATAAAAAAGTGAAAAAGGTCTGGGGAAATAGTTCAGCGTGGAGGCCCTGGGTTGGATGCCCAGCACCACAAAAATAAAAACTCCAACTCCCCATGAATAATGACCCGTGCCTCCATCATTCAGCATATCAGCACAAGTTCTAATTTATATATAGGTACCACAGGTATGATTTATAATATACATAATTTCAGTTGCTTTAATCTGGTTCTGGGTTTGAGCCAAGGGCCTTGAGTATGCTGAGCATATTCTTTGCCACCATCTGAACCTCCAGCTAATTTCTTAGTGCTTTATAATTAGCTTGAGAGTTCCTTGGTTGTAACCAAAGTACTTTTTTTACAGTTGGTTCATTTTTCGTTAGGAATCAAACCAGACCACACTGTATTGGTTGATTTTCTGATTTAAGAAAACCTTACACCCAGAGCCTGGAATTTGAGCCTCCTTTTGAGGGCTAAGGTGAGGCCCTCACAGTCTGCAGTCCATGTTGCCCAGTTTAGGGACTAACCCGGGTGGATTTCTGCTTTAGGCAGTATGGATGCGCTGAGCTGTCACCTGATGTGCCCACAGGTCTGCACCAACTACTGGCTGGCTTCGAGGACAAGTCAGCTTACGCGCTCTGCACATTCGCGCTCAGCACAGGAGACCCCAGCGAGCCCGTTCGCTTGTTCAGGGGCCTGACCTCGGTGAGTACCTGTTCAGGTGCTGTTCTCCTGCTTGCCGCCAGGGGCCGCTGTGACCTGGGCAAGCCACCCAGAGTTGGTTATGGCTGAGAGGTACCTATGAGCACTGTAACTAGATGTGTGGTCAGTCTTTAAATCTATTTGACCCCTTAAGCTGCTGGCTAACAGCTTTTGAGACTAATGCATCCAGATCTCTGTCCTTGTGTGATGGTAAGTCTGAAGGTAACCACTCCCAAAGCTATCTGGTGGCACACACCTGTAGTCCCAGCCCTCTGGAGGCTGAGGTAGGATAGGGAGTTCAAGGATAACTAGGACCAGCCTGGGCTACACAGTACAACCCTGTCTCAGAGCAAAGTAAACGCAAAGCTACATCATCCCAGACTTTACCCCACTCAAATTTCCTGTCCATCTGTCAAAGTACAGCCTTCCTTGACTTTATGACTTTTCATAGAATTTATTATTTATTTTATTTTATTTTTTGGTACTTGGGCTCAAACTCGGGTCCTTGTGCTTGTGAGGCAGGCGGTGGAACCACTGAGCTAAATACCCAGCCCTATTATTATTATTATTATTATTATTATTATTATTATTATTTTATTGCTTTTTGGTGATGGTGTTGGAGATCAAGCCCAAGGTCTTATAATGTTAATCAAGCGCTTTACCACTGAGCTATACCTACACCTAGTATTTTAATT